GACACGAGCTGCGTCCTGAGGAAGACAGGGAGGGAGGGAGAAACTGAGGAGGGATAGGAGACTGCCTCCTGCTGGAGGCATTATGACTCGCCGCCCGCCCAGCTCCTCAAGCCGACGGGCCGCAGCGTCGACGACAAGACAGTTTATGTTGACGAGCAGGCGTCCCCGCGCAATGTGCGCCACGTCCCATTCCCGCTACACGATTCGCAGCGCCGACGAGGAAAAAAACACAGGTTGCCAAAAACAAAGTCGACGTTGCTGTGTTTTTTGACTGGTCGGACGGGGGGTACCACGTAGGGTTGGCCAGGCGTCCGCGCACGACGTGCGCCGCGCCCCGTTCTTGCTACACTTTTCGCAGCGTCGACGACAAGAAAGTCCATGCTGATAAGACAAACGTTGAATTCGTTTTGTTTTTTGATGGGTAAGACGCGACGACCCGCTTAAGGTTACCCTATCGATATTCATTCCGATTCATTCCTGTTACAATTTTCGCACCTCGATGACATGTTGGCGGGAAACAGTGGAGTTTGTGTTCTTTCGACAGTTAGTACAGCGGGGTTGCTATCGGCCGGTTGGGTGGTGATGTGGGGGTGCTGAATCGTAGAAGCAACGATACAGGTCAAGTTAGCCACCTCGAACGAGCCAGAGGGCTCCGTCCACTCCCACCCGCTTCCCCACAACAAGAAGCAAGCGCGCGCGCGTCGCGCCCGACGCCTGGTGCTCATCTTAAACCGTGGGCGGCTAGACGTTCAGCGCGCGACCCGGGCTGCGTCTTGCTCCTGCTACGTATTGAGCAACGTCGACGAGAAACAAGACCGCGCGCGGTGTACGCCGCGCCCCGTTCCGGCCTCTCATGGTGCATCGTCGGCGACAAAATGCCCAGCGCGCGAAATGCGCCGCGTTTCATTCCAGCCGCGCGTCTTGCACCGCCAAACTCGTTTCGATCTTGCCGCGCAGGGAAGAGGAGGAGGAGGAGGAGGAGGAGGAGGAGGAAGAGGGGAGGGAAAGAGGGAAAGAGGGAGAAATTGAGGAGGAAGAGGGGAATGCCTCTTGGGAGTTCGCGGGGCGTCTTGGGAGTTCTCTGGTATACGCCTGGCAGCCTCTTGGATGTATCTTCCGGATTGGAAACATTCTCAACACAAGTAGGTGCTAACCTCACATTCTTTCAAACACCAAATGCAAATCAATATCTGCGCCCCCCGCCCCCCCCCCCCCGGACTTCCTTGGCGTTTGTTTCTACCTTTTCGGGGGTCTCCTAAGGCAATTGCTTGAATCGCATTTGCTTGACGCATTATGAATTGCCGCCCCCCCCCCACAGCTCCTCAACCCGACGGGCCGCAGCGTCGACGACAAGAGGACCACGTTGACGAGCAAACGTCTCTGCGCGATGTGCGCCGCGTCCCATTCCCGCAGCGCGAATCGCAGCGCCAGCGAGGAGAAAACACATGTTGGCAAGAACAACGTCGACGTTGCGGTGTTTTTTTTTGGCTGGTAGGACGGGGGTATCCGCGTAGGGTTGGCCAGGCGTCCGCGCGCGATGCGCGCCGCGTCCCACTTTTGCAGCATTTTTCGCCGCGTCGACGACAAGAAAGTCCATGATGACGAGAAAACTTTAAATTCGTATTGCTTTTGATGGGTAGGACGCGACCACCCGCTTAAGGTGACCCAGGCGACGTTCATTCCGACCCATTCTTGGTACCATTGTCGCAAGTCGACGACACGTTGGCGAGAATAAAGTTGAGTGTGGATTGTTTCCTTGGCAGTTAGGACGGCGGGTTTGCAATCGGTTGGCTAGGTGGGGATGCGGCGGTGTCTAATCATAAGAAGTAAGGATGGGATTGGGGGTGGAGGTGGGGATGGCCGTGGCCGTGGCCGTGGCCGTGGCCGTGGCCGTGGCCGCGGTCGTGGTCGCGGCCGTGGGCGTGGCCGCGGCCGCGGCCGTGGCCGCGGCCGAGGCCGAGGCCGAGGCCGAGGCCGAGGCCGTGGCCGTGGCCGTGTGCGTGTGCGTGTGCGTGTGCGCGTGCGTGTGCGTGTGCGTGTGCGCGTGCGCGTGCGCGTGCGCGTGCGCGTGCGCGCGTGCATGGGTGTGCGCGTGCGTGTGTGTGCGCGCGTGTGTGCGTGAGTGGGTGTGCGTGTGGTGTGCGCGTGGGCGTGTGTGCGTGTGTACGCGTGTGTGCGTGTGTGCGCGTGTGCGTTTGTGCGCGTGTGCGCGTGTGCGCGTGTGTGCGTGTGTGCGTGTGTGCGTGTGTGGGTGTGCGCGTGTGCGTGTGCGCGTGTGTGCGACTATGCGTGTTCGTTTACCATATCAGGCTTGGCACTCTGAAATATCCCAAATGTGGCGGCCCCGTTTCATTTCAGCTCGTCCCGTGGCACCCCCCCGTCCAAGCACATGCGTCGGGCCATGACTCTAGGCCTCCCAGATGAGGTCATAATACATGGTAGGATATCCGTAAGGGTTTCGCCCCCTGCCGCTGGCCCCCTCTCTCGGAGAATGGGCCATGAAAGAGCTAAGTCATGAGGTCTTGGCGCTGTCGTGAAGCAGTATCGAAACTTCATGCGAAGCCGATTCGCAATCAGCAAAACCAACTGATCACAAGAGGGGTTACCACACCTGGCGATTGGTAAGACGTGTATGGTTTACGGGCTTGGTTACCACACCTTGCGATTAAAGGGCCGAGGGAGTTCTCGCAGTTTGGGTTACCACGCCTTGCGATGGATGTGCGTGAAGGGTGGCACCGAATTTCAGAAATGTGGCAATCCCTCCCTGACCCCGCGGATCTGCGTAAGGGGTGGCATTTAGAAATGTGGCAAATCCCTGTGTTTTTGGACCCTGACCCCGCGGATCTGCGTGAGGGGTGGCACCGAATTTCAGAAATGTGGCAAATCCCTTGTGTTTTTGGACCCTGACCCCGCGGATCTGCGTGAGGGGTGGCACCGAATTTCAGAAATGTGGCAAATCCCATGTGTTTTTGGACCCTGACCCCGCGGATCTGCGTGAGGGGTGGCACCGAATTTCAGAAATGTGGCAAATCCCATGTGTTTTTGGACCCTGACCCCGCGGATCTGCGTGAGGGGTGGCACCGAATTTCAGAAATGTGGCAAATCCCCTGTGTTTTTGGACCCTGACCCCGCGGATCTGCGTGAGGGGTGGCACCGAATTTCAGAAATGTGGCAAATCCCATGTGTTTTTGGACCCTGACCCCGCGGATCTGCGTGAGGGGTGGCACCGAATTTCAGAAATGTGGCAAATCCATGTGTTTTTGGACCCTGACCCCGCGGATCTGCGTGAGGGGTGGCACCGAATTTCAGAAATGTGGCAAATCCCATGTGTTTTTGGACCCTGACCCCGCGGATCTGCGTGAGGGGTGTTGATTTCGAGCCCCCCCAGCAATTCAGACAACGCGCCCAGGGGGTGCTAAAAAGCCGGTTTGGGCCTCCCCCCTCCTCGCGCGGTCAATCAACTAGTTACAGTAACCAGCAATAAGCAGAACTGTAACACTGGAAACTACAAGCTACAACTGGTACAGGAAACTGCGAATCCCGCTCCTCGCAGCCTGGTGGCCCCACAAGGGGGGCCGGCGGATTTGCGCCGCATCGCCGATGCACAGGCGACGCGGCCCGATGTGGAGCCCGAGTGTCTCCACGCCGACGTCGCCTATGCAGCGCCGATGTCGCCGATGTACCGCATCGACGACGCATCGGTGGTGCATCGACGATGCGGCGCGATCCTCCCACCCCCCCCCTACTCAGACCCCATCTGGGAGACCTCCACTGATGCGTTGATCCCCTTCTTCCTAGCCCCGCTCGCCAGATTTCCGAGGAGGAGCGAATACGAGCGCGAGCCCGTGCCCGAGGGGGCGCTGCGCAGTTGGGTCAGCTTCCTCGCCATCTTCACCGGGCGCCACACAGCAGGCACCGAGTTCACGATCGGCCCCCTCTTCGTCGTCCACGGGGCGAGAGCGATGGACGTGCTGCTGGGGCTGTTCCTCGGGAACATCCTCGCCACCCTCACGTGGCGGTTCGTGGTCGCGCCCCTGGCGGTGCGGAAGCGGCTGACGACGTTCTACTTGGTGGAGCGGGTGTGCGGGGCGAAGGCCAAGACGGTGTACTCCCTCGTCGGTGGTCTGATCCTCGCCGTGATCTCGGGAGCCATGTTCGCGGTCTCCGGCACCGCCGTGGGCGTCCTCTTTGAGGTCGACATGCCGGGTCTGAACGACTTCTTGCCCGATTCCTGGGCCTGGGTCGGCGTCGTGGTGCTCTGTGGCGCCGTGACCTCGCTGACCGCGGCCTTCGGCTACGACGTGGTATCGCGGTTCTCGATGCTCATCACGCCCTACATGATCGCCGTCGTCATCTATCCTGTGGCTCTCGGCGCATGCCGCCACTGTGTCCCAGCTTTAGGTCAGAGGCCTCTGGGATGCCCGTGTCTTTGGCAGCCTCGTGGAATCTTCTCGGGACACGAATTTTGGGGTGCTTTCGGGCCTCTCGGTGGCCCTCCTGGGGACGCTCCACTTCGCACCCCTCACGTCGCGCCCAGGGGCACGGTGGCGGATTTCGGCGTGCGCAGCCTTCAGCTGCTGGAGGTCGACTCCGTGGAGGCCTTCTGGAGGGTCGCGAACGAGAAGGTCTGGACCGGGCAGACCCGGGGAGGCTACTCGAGGTACGGCCTGGGCCATTGCGTCTGCGCGGGCTGGTTCGTCGATCTGGTTCTGCATTTCGGCCAGCTCGACCAGACCATTTTGCGGTGCTCGAGCGACAGCACAGGAGGGGCAAAGGCATATGATCTCGGAGCTCCGCTCGGGTCTCTCGGACCTGCGCTGGGCCCCGCGGCGGCGCCTGCGGCGGCGCCCCTGGCGCGCTCCGCGCGCCAGGGAGGGGGGGGGGTCCAGCGCCGATGCGAGAAATATCCGCGCGGGGCTCCGAAATCACCGATCCACCCGTTTCCATGGTGGTGCAGGTACGGCAAAACCGCCAGCGTCGGTTGGTGCTCCGCCAGCGGCATGTTCATCGGCCACTACTTCACGTGGATCGTGGCCGGGCTCCTGTACGCCGTGCAGCTCCAGGACGACCCCACCAACGAGAGCGTGGCGCCGGGGCCCATGGCCAAGCACGTGGCGGGCATCAACGGGCTGATCTGCATCATCCTCGCGGGCTGGAGCACGGCGAACCCGTGCATGTACGAGGCTCGAGGAAGAATCAGGCGGGAAAAATCACACAGACACAAATAATCGCCGATTCCCCAGAAACTATAGGAAACTATGGGAAGTGGGGGGGAAGACAGAAACCCAGAAACTACATAAAGATGGGGAATCTGGTTATTTGTGTCTATTTATTTGTGTGTCCCAGTTCCCCTTCAAAGAAGCACGGCAGAGACAATGTTTTGGAGCGACGCGGACTTCCTTGGATCTGCGCGGGGCCTCCTCTCTGGCGGCGCCGCTCCCTTGACGCGCTCCGCCCGAGAAATCCGCGCGGACTTCCGATCATTTATGTGCTTGTGGAATTTGTTGTGCCTCCAGGTCATCGAGACAAAAAGAACCCCTAATCCGAATAACACGATGAAGGCGTGGCCTCATTTAGGTATCCGTCTACGTATTAGGGATAATCATCATTCTGGGCGGCTTGGTCTGATACATCTGCAGAGAGGACCTCCTTATCCCTAATCTTTGTTGTCCTCCTAACTGTGGTATCCCCAAAGGGTTAGGAGTAGTTTTATTGCTCATCATCCAGAGGCGGGCCTCGCGCTGCAGTCTGTGCTCGGCTCCCGCTGGAGCACCCCCACAGTCACCCTCGGCCTGGGCGTGGTCGGCACCGCGGCGGCGCTCTTCCCGGTGTTGCTAGAAGTCAGTCGGGCATGTCCCTCTACAGCAGGATCTTATATGGGGACGATGTTTCGATTATTGTTCGACTATATTTGAATATCTATGAGCATTTGTCATTTGTCTTCCAAATTCTGCCTGTAGTCGGACATGCCCGACCTGATGCTAGAAGTGCCCCTGGCCCAAGGTGGCCTCAGGAATTCCAAGGAGGCCCCCACGGCCTCCAGAGCACCCCTCGCGAGACCTTGAGGGCCCCAGGAATTCCAGAATTCTAGGCCTAGGTGCGGTCGGAGTAGATGGGGTCGGAGGATCGCGCCGCATCGCCGATGCATCGACGATGCGGCTCGATGTAGCGTCCGATGTTCCCCACGCCGACGTCACGGATGCGTCGCCGACGTCGCCGACGTCGCCGATGCATCGCCGATGCATCGGCGATGCATTGGCGATGCGGCGCGACCCTCCGACACCATCTGCTCGGACCCCATCCAGGAGGCCTCTAATCCCTCACGAGGCCTAGAGAGCCCCAGGAGTTCCAGAGTTTAGAGAAGAGCTGGGGGTTACCTTGGGCCAGGGGCACCTTTAGCAACCCCCGAGGTGGTGGTGATGAAGGTGCTCGAGGCCCTGGCCTTTGGCGGGCTGCTTCTGCTGCCCGTCGGGGTCGTGCTGGTCGTGGACACTCTGGTGCTGCCCCGCCTTGGGCTCGACAGCGAGCGCTGCGCCGACGAGGCTGGCTCCACCAACTGGCCTGCCGCTGCAGCGTGGGCGGTGACCGGGCGGGGCTACAGTCGACCCGCATAGGAAGGATCAGCGACTTTCCAAGGGTGCCCGTGCATCCTTCCCCTTCCGCCCGTCCTCGGCCCGTCTCCGCTAGCCGCGCCGCTTACGTCGCAAAGTGTCGACAGGGCTTCCAAGGCCCTTGCATCCTTATCGTGCATCCTTATCATACGGGTTGAATGTAGGACAGAGGTACATCGTTCCAGGTCGTTCCAGAACGCTCTCAGAGCGTTCCGGAGCGCTCTGGCACGGCCGCGGCGCTCGACGCAGCCCTCAGAATCGCTGGATCTCAGACATCTCTAGCTCATGGTAGGTTCGCGCCGTTTCGACTGGCGGCGACCTCGCCGTTGGCGTTCAACGTTGGACGCCGCTGGCGATCCAGCATCGGCCCATCGTCGAACGATCTGACATTTAGGAAACGGCCGATCGTTCAAGGCTGAAGCATCCCCGCGGTGTCAGAAACCGACGCCGAAGTCGGCACGACACGAACCTGCCGTATCCCGGTCCCACTTTGGCCCTGTCCGGGCCTCGTCTCAGGTGACTGTGGCCGTGGAGTTGCCACCGGTGGTCGCGGGGAAGCTGGCGGTGTTCTTCGCGCCGCTCGTCGGCATCCCGCTGGCGGCGCTGCTGTACGTCGGGCTGTCGTGCTGGTCCGCCAGGAGGAGCGCACACAGCGCGGACGCCGTGGCCTCCGAGGCGCCGCCAGGCGTCGCACCCAGAGAGGAGCAGGTGTGAGTCGAGCAGTGGCCAAGCGTCCGGGCTTGCCTAACGTCCCGCCGAAGAATGTTTTAAGAACCGTTTTGTGGTCTGCACGAAATGTTTTCAGAACTTGTCTGTCTGAGACTGTCTTGTTTTGACAGATTGTCTTCATGTTCTAAGACAATTATTGCTTTTGTTATCAGAACGTTTCTGGGTTCTGAAGAACGTCGAGGTAGGCGTACTGGAATGCCGGGACGTCTGGTCCCCGCTCAAGCGAGAGCCATCGTGTGCCCAGCAGAAGCGGTCATCGCTCTGCTTTACAGAGTGGGCGCCGAACTCGAGCCAACGCCACAATCAGGTCATGTGTTGTCTCTCTCTCTCTCTCCCTTTCCGTTTTTTGAGGCGGGCCTGGCCTGTTCACATGAATTCGTGATTTCTTCCCGTCGGTCATACGAGCCGCCAGAGGTGGAAGCAGCAGAGCATGGCAGTTTTCGAGCTCCTGTACGCAGGGCTCACCAGGAGCGAGGGGAGGGTGTAATCTTAGGTCGGGCCTGTCCCCATACAGGGGATTTTGGGCGAAAAAGTAAAAATACTCAAACAATGCTCCAACAATGCGCAAACTAGTCAAAACGTCGTCCCCATATTATTTTTTACTATTTTTGAATATCCCTCCTGTGGAGGGACGAGCCCGACTGAGGTGCAACCATCTTCCCTCCATTCGTCCTCGCCTCGAGCCGGCACTGGCACAGTCTCTGGGCAGCGTGCCGCCCGCGAGCACAGCATGAGCCTGGACTCTCCCCGAGGTCGACGGGCGATTCGTGGGCGGGTGCCGGCGACGCCTGGGAAAAGCACACATCTTCGGAGGTTCGGCGGCGAGCGAAGGGGGGAAGTCAGAAGGGACGCGCCCTCTCAGAAGGCTCGAAAGTCCCGGGGCCTTCTGAGAAGTTTTCTAAGCGTTCCCCGAAGACACAGAAAACTTCTTAGAAGGCGCGAGGGCTTCTGAGAAGTCCCGCCGCCTTCTGAGGAGGCCTTCTCCTTCTCACTCCCCCCCCCTCGCTCGCCGCCAAGAGGTTGGTAGACCTCCTACCCTGGCGCGTCGATTGGCGAATTGGCCGTTTTCGCTTCGCGAGAGGGCGTCGCGGCCGTCATCTTTGCAGGTCCCAGGTCCGTCGATTTCGGTCCCAGGCCGTTTTCGCTAAAGTGTGGTTCAATAAAGGGAGGCTTGTCCACCGCCGACATTTCCTCCCCGCTCGTCACGCGGCACAAGCATGCTGCATTCGGTGCAGTTCGTCTCTCTCGGCAATCTTGCAGCCACGGCTCAAAGCGTGGGCTGTGCACAGCACGGGCCCTCCTGGTGGCTTGCTGCCTCGCACCGGGCACCAAGAACATGCGGACACCGCAAGCCAGGGCTCGACCTAAGCCCTAAGCGGTGCTTTCGCGATTCCGTGGACCGGCTCCGTCTCGATTTCGTTTCGCGGCAGTCGGCTGAACGGGACAGCGAGCACAGAACGACAACGGAAAACACTGCCTGTGGGTGGAGCCCTGCCGCAGGCACTGCCGTGGACCCTGCAGCGAGCGGCTCACGGTCGCGCACCCGCAGGGCGCCAGCACCACCGACGGAGCAGGGCGCGCTCCCGCGCTCTCTCCGGGGGGGCGGCGCAGCGGCCTCGGCTCCCGCCGAGGCCCCTCCTCGAGCGGTCGGCACCCTCGTGGGCCACGCGCAGAAGGGGGGGTGGGGGGAGGGGGGGAGCCTTCTTAGAAGCACCCCTGCTTCTTAGAAGGTGCGGGCCTGGTCGAAAGATGTAAGGCCGGCGCCTTCTAAGAAGCACCCTGCTTCTACGAAGCCTTCCCCCCTCCCCCTGCCCCCTTGCGCGCGCCGCCAACCTCGGCAAGGGTCGCCCTCGGGGCTCAAGAGACGGGGGTCACTGCAAACGGGGGTCAGTCAGAACGCCGGATCCTGCAGGATCCTGCAGGATCCTGCAGAGCCAGGGGGGCGTTGACCCGGGCTTGAGCGCAGGATCCTGCAGGATCCTGCAGGATCTTGCAAAGCCCAATCTGGGTTTGTTAGGCGATCGCAAACATGGATCACGGGGGCGTGATCACTGATTTCCGCCGCCGAACGAGGCGACAACGGCCGCATTTTGGGGAGGGCCCCTTTCCCTCTGTCCATGTTTACGTGCCCCCGAGTTTGGATTGACCCGGGTCAGACGATTCCCGACACCCAGGCACGGGCTGGCCTGGCCAGACGAGCGCGTCCTCCATCCTCGGAGGGAGGAAGGGGTACACGGGGCTGGACCTAAGCGCTGTTTTGCTGGACGTTAGCTGTGTTTTGTTGTTCGTTTTGGGAGGGAGGTCCAAGAAAAAAATGGAGCAAAACGAGAAAAAAAAAACAAGCAACAACAAAACGAAAACAAAACGAAACACAACGTGTAAGTCCAGCTCTGGAGGTACACATGCCGCAACCCTTGCCTTGTTCCCCCCGTCTTCGGGCATCCTCGGAGGCCCTCGTTGCCACCGCTGGATTCGCCTCGAAATTCTAGTAAGAACGCACCCTGGGAGAGGCCCGTGGAGTAGCGGTATCGACACCTTTTTGGGTTCCCCGAACCTTCCATGCCAATGTTCCTGCGCCTCCTGCTCGTCCTCCTGCGCTCCATGCTCCTGCTCCGCATCCCTCTTCTCCTCTCCATCCTCCACCCTCCCCCTCAGCCCTCCTCCCTCAGCCCTCCTCCCTCCCCTGTCTGCCTCCCCCTCCCTCAGCCCTCCCCCTCCCTCAGCCCTCCTCCCTCAGCCCTCCCTCCCTCCCGATTCTCCCTCCCCCTCCCTCAGCCCTCCTCCCTCCCCTTGTCTGCCTCCATCCCCTCTCGGCGGCGCGCCGAGGAGGGAATCGAGAGGGGGTCCCTCCCCCTCCTTCGTCCAGACCTTGCGGCCTAAGCTTCCGCCCGCTTATTCGATAGGATCGATGTGGATTCCCTTGAATTACGCAGGGTGGCACTTTAAGGGTAGCTTTTTGGGAGATGTTATAGAAGATCGGGAGTCTAGCCTGCGCGCCGCTGCTTTGGCTCAAGGCACGCGCGCCCTATTTGCCCGGACACTTATCTTAGTGTTCGCTATGTGCTGGAAAAATCACTACATCGATCTTATCCTATCCTATCAATCCACTCCCCATATCGTATGCCTTCGACATGGAATCGGATGCTATATGACCTGCCAGAGTCCTTTCAGACTTGGTAGCGGAGCTGGCCGCACTCTCGTGTGGTCGGCTCTTGCTTTTCTTTTCCTCACGCTACCCGGCACGATCTTCGTGACCGACCTCTACCCTGCGCCACCACTCCACTTACACTTACGAAGATCAACACAAGAGCAAGAAGCAACACGAGAGGTACGACGTCTAGACAACAACACTGGTACCATATACGCTTCATCACCACGATCTTACCAACCGCTCGGCAACGAGCCTCCAGCGCAGCACTTGAAGCGCAGGCGGGGACACCCGCAAGATAAAGCGCCTCGTAGACTTGACGAGGAGCTACAAGCCCTACCCCAGCGCGGCAACGCGCCTGATAACCACCCATATTTTCACAGCCTAGGGTTGGTTATTTTCGCCATCATATGGTTTGCGCTGGGGGCGGCAATCGGACACATGCGTCGAGGAGACAATAGCACAGATGGGCAAACACATGGCCCATACTGGGACCCCCAAGGCAACGTACCCTTTCGCGAGTACGTTTACGAGGTCAACGCGCGGCTTAACGTCACGAGTGGACGCATGACGCCACAAGCCCAAGCAGCCGCCACACAACGCGGCCTGGGCGGCCTAGCGAGGACACTCGCCATGAGGGTACCACCGGACATCATAAACTATGGTGCGGACATCGATGGTGTCCACACCGACCCAGTAACCTACATTATGTTCCTCTTAAGCATGGAGTTCGAACGCCTGGAAGATGAGCGCCAGCTCACTTCAGGCACTCAGCTCATCGACTTTCATGTGCCTCACGGAGAACGAATCGGCGTAACCCTTACTCGGTTCGAGATGGCCCGTCTTGAGGCACAGTCGGTGGGTTTTGACCTTCCCAACTTCCAACTGCTCACGACTATCCTGTTCCGCGCCCTAGGCGTTGGCAACCAGCGAGCCATGCGACTCTTACAGCCATTCAACCACCGAATGCCCCGAACACAACAGCAGCGTGACGAACTGTGTGAGAGGATGCGTTCGATAGGCCATTTGTCAGAACGGTCTCCTGGCAACGTAGGATCAGTGTTTGGAAGGGGAAGGGGAACTGGCAGTGGAAATTCCTGTACTACCTTAATCACTGAAGCTCAGCCTGGCAACGGGCCCTCAAACATATGGGCCGACGATCCTGGAGAATCTACTGCCCTACTAGCAGGGGATCGATCACAACCGAGCTGGGCAAACCAGCCCTTCTCCTAGAGAACCTCAACCTCACCGTTCCCTATGGGGTGAAGCGAATCCCCTAAACGACGGTGTATCCACCTACTTAGGTAACGACGATTTCGACTCCGGCACCGACACTGACGCGATATCATCAGATGGCATCGAACCATTCGACTGGTCAGATATCATGCAGATGGAAGGTGATAATATAATTAGCGTGCCGAACATCTGTTCTGGTTATTACAGCAGGCAAAGCGTAGGTGGAGGAGGTTTACACGAACACCAGTGCGTCGTGTTAGGGGGGGGGGGGGGATGCGGAGGAGCTTCAAAGGAAAAGGTAAAGGCAAACGGGGTCGCCGAAGGTTGAACGGACGCGGCATCACGGCTTTCTTCCAGAGGCTTTCAGATGATCAGTATGATGTGATATTTTTCGAGGGAAAAGGCAGTGGAAAAGGCCGCAGGCAAACCTCAGGCAAGGGCAAGGGCAGGCGGGGAAACCCGCGAGGTAGAGACGGCCAGGTCTTGAAGTGTCATGAATGTGATAGTACCGAACATCTTGTAAAAGACTGTCCAGCGAAGGGAAATTGAAAGGGTAGGTCGACCGAAGTCCATTTAGGCTCAAGTGAACTTTCCATTGAATATCTGAGCCTCCAAGACTTCGAGGCTGTGGAAGATATATTTTTCACTTGGGTCAGCAACGTGGACAGTTTGGATGAGATCGAGGCGTGCGGCCATGGGCTCTACGCGTACTACCTCGAGTACCTCCGCAGGTTCGTCTTCGGAAATAACGAACGAATAACGTGGAGAACGGAACGCTGGGAAACCAGCCCCTTTCTTTCTTCGACTGGATGTTCGGTAGCCCAGGCAAAATCATGGCCTACGAGAGCAGCGACGAGGAAGTCACTGTTGAGGCATCGCCTTCGGAGGTTGACTGCAACCCACGACGTCGACCCGACCTCGTGCCTGGAAATAGGCCCACTCCAGTGCGTCCGCCAAATTACGGTGATTTGATGGAGTTAGAGTCTCAAGCATTCACCGTGGGCGTGCCAGGCAATCCCCACGAACCACCTGGCATGCTCGCGCCAGGCGAGTACGGACCATACACGGCACTGCGGACCCCCATGCAGATGCACGCCATACAGGCCGAAGAATATCCCGATAGTCAACAGAGTGTCGAGAGTGGCCACACGATGCTACAAGACACCGATGTCTGTGACGACTCGGAGTTGTTGTTGGCGGCCCTTGCTCTCATCGACAGCGTGCACCCTGAGGACGTGCAGCGACACGTATGGTACTCAAGATGGCGTTGGCGCCAAGCCCTTGAGAGGGCTATCACCATGCGTGGACAGGCGCTTCCTCCGCCGGGATGGGGTCTCCAGGCGGTGGGGCTACAGCCCAACCATGCGGCCATGCGAAATGTTATCGGGCAGCCCTCATATGACTATGATCAGCTTGAGGCGCGCGCTGTGCTCGGTAACGAGCCTGAGCCGACTACCGCGCCGCCGACTCCGGGACAGCCAAGCGATGCTCAGACGCCTGTACAGCAGGGAAACCTGCCCGTCCCGGTTGGGCCAATGACCATTGTCATTGGCAATCCTATGTTAGAAGTTGAAGAAGATGATGGATGTGGAACGTGCGAGGACGAGACCACCATCCTCATGATGGAAGTCAATGGCGAAGACGAGGAGGTGGACTTCGACCCAGACAGTCCTGACGCACCACCACCCGCACAAGGGCCAATTGGGCCAGACTCCAGTCAGAAGGAAGACCTGCCTGCCCAAGATGCGCTGCCTGCGGCCCCGC